ATTGAGGCTTTGGTGGGGAGCCAAAGGAGTAAACACCTTAACCAAATGTTGTTCTGTGTTCCTGTTTCCTGTGAGTTCCATCATTGACCAAGTCAAACCAGAACCCAGAGAGCAAAAGGAAGTGTTGTTGCAGTTGATTGTGGTGCGACACAGAGCAGGGTAGATCTGGAAAATAGACTAAGCCTGGCCTTCTCCCAGAAATCACTCTGACTTTCATATTTTTATCCATTATCAAGCTTTGTGGTCTAGGTAGTGCTCTAGCCATAGCTCTAAATGTGCATCTTTGTCTGTCATATTCTCGCCATCCTAGTGAATCATTCAAAATCGAGTTTATGACCTAAGATTGCCAAAGAATTTGGTAGTGGGAGGTGAAAGTTCTTTTTTATCTTATCTATTGTATATGTCAGAAATATATAGATCATATGACAAAGGAATACAGTTGGATTGACTAATGATAATCCTCTAAATTTGGGATTCTTGATCATATCAAACTTAGGTGATGTTAAAGTGATTTAACTTAAGATTAAAGGAATTAAGGTATAAGGAGAATTCTGAGGCATCCCATGCCGGTGAAAGCAGCAAGTTCAAATCATGTCTCTGATTCTTCACAAGGAGACCTCTGATGATGGAGTTGTGAGGATCTTTCTAGTAGTATGGCATAAATACTCTCTCGTTTTCATAGACTATCAATGGATGGTGAATTTCTTTAGTAATGGAGTAAATTCTCTTTATGAGAACTGTTACTTCTATTGGGGTCGTCAATTCAAAAAATCCCAATTCTCAGTTGACTGTGTTAAATATAAAAGTGCCTGAAGATTAGTAAGCTATAACATATTTGCAATAAACAATATTTTAGTTGAGTAAATAGATGATAGATTCGTTGTGTTATAATTAAACCAGTATTGCCAAGATCAAAACTTTTTTTTACATTAGTTTCTGTACTAAGCAGGACTGACATTACAAATGCAACTTCCTCCCTGATTAGAGATTTCTTATCATTTACTAGCCCGCATTCCAGTCTTGCTACATGGCTCAAACCACTAACTGACATTTAGAAGTCAATATTTTTGATAAACATAGGGAAATGTTATTCATTGAGTGAAAGCTTCTGTTTATAGTCAGATGAAATATATCTAATCTGTTTCATGAGGAAGAACTCTATGGCACAGTGAAGAAAGTACCACTCTAGACGAACAGGTTTGAGTGATACTGTTGCCTTTATTGCATATCGTATGATGTTTTAAACAGATTTTATTTGTTAGAGTAGTTTTAGATTCAAGCAAAATTGAGTAGAAGGTGCAGAGATTTCCCAGATGCATACTCCCTACTGTATGATTTTGAGGGAGGCAAATCACATAACAGATACTTGTTTTATCTAGTATATAATACTAGAACTGAATCGGAGTCCCTTCCAGCTTTTATATTATAGATGCTATGTCCCTCTCATTGGCTACAAGAGGTCTAAAATTCTTTACTATCCTATTATATTCTGGATATAAACTAATATTTCATCTCATGTTGCACAACATCATTTGTTCCAGATGGTGAGGAAATAAATATTTGAGACTCTCTGTTGCCTTCTTGCCCCTGTATTCCCAAAGAACAATATTCTGCTGCAACCTTAGTGATGGAGAGAGGTGCTTAGGAAGGGCCTTAAACTGAAATGGTGGCACTGATAGGGTTACATGCACTGTCTTGCATTTATCCTGGGGCCTCATATCTCTAAGGGCTGGAGGAAGATTTATTGACTCATCCTTCTTGCTCTAAGCTTTAGAACCATCTCTCATGACAAGAGGAACAACTCTACCAAGTATGTGAAACCTGGGAAAAATAAAAATGGGAGGTAATATAAAAATACAAAGGGGGACTTGAGAGACAAAACGGAAGGGGGTGGGTACACAAAGGGTGAGAAGGAGGACCAGTAGATTGGTTCAGGAAGGGAGAGGTTGCCAGTTCATCACAGGGCACAATTATCATCAAAATATCTTCATTGCTCATGCCCATGCTCTTAGCATTCTAGCCAGACTCAGACTTTTCAGATAGGACTTGCTTAATATTCACTGTAGCTGGTCTCTTCTCTGTCCATGGGTGTGATACTTAATACAAGGTAAAGGACTATTTCTAGACAGAGAAGAAAAGGAATTCCAGAATAATATTGGGGTTACACCAGACAATGTTCAAGATCCCTTCCAATACCAAGTATCAGTGATTTTTAACATGACATTTATTACAGCTCAGAGCTCTAAACTCTACATTATAAGTCCTTCATATTTTTGAGTTTATAAATGAATTCCACAAAATCCGTCCTCCTCCTCTGGGGAATGGTGGAAGACATCACAAGGCCATGTGAATGAATGAAATTATAGGATCAGGGGCAATAGGAGTTGGACTGTCAAAATGAACCAGTGCTATAATGTAAGGGGTTGTAGAATAATAGGTGGACCAGATACTAGTGGATATTTATCTGGTTGTAACTTCAGAATAGTAACGTACCTGCTAGATTCCTAGCTCATTGAAGTTACAAAGATCTCTTTCTTTTTCTTGGTGCGACTTCCCGTTCTAACTAGACTCTGTTGTTTTTTTTTTTTTTTTAAATTAAAATATTCACTGAATAAAATGGAAAATATATAGGTAGAGTCATTATAATTGTCAAAGAAATTTTGAGGTAGGAAGAAGATTAAGAGTAATTCATATTTCTTCCTAAACTGAATCTTCACTGGATGAAAGAGAGACGAAATAGATATAATTCACTTCCCAACCCTCAGCTTACCTAGGTCATTTTATGAGTTGACTGCTCTTGGTGTTTTCCTCTACAGAAGGATACTCTATAGTCTCCCCATATCTTCCTCTCTCTCATTAAACTTCAAAGAATTGTTTTCCTCATTGTCTTCTTCATCATTATCATCACCACCACCATTATTTTGTGGTCACTGTATGTAAGGCTCTATGCTAGGTATTTCACCTATAATATCTCCTTTAACTCTTAGCACAATCCTGTCAAACTGTTGTTATCTTCAGTTTACAGAGGAGGCAACTTTGATACAGAGAGAAAGAAATCATTTGCCTACGATAAACAGTGAGCAAGCGTTGGAACCAGAATATAACCTAGGTAAATGTCGTAGTAGAACTAGGGGAACAGTGTGCACAAGGAAGACGGCGGACAGCTGTCTCCTTGAAACCTCAAGAAAAAGTATTGAGAGGAATGAAGGTATTTCAGACTGGCCTCCAGATCAGACATCTTACAGTTTTCAGTTAAACTTCATGTTTTCTCTTTCTCGGCAGTAGGAGAGAGAGGTTATACAATCAGAAAAATGGTTTGGACTGACTAAGCAGTGAAGTGAAAAGAAGGCGGATTTCTAAGTTTGGATTATGGAACAGAATGAGGAAGGAATCAACACAAGGAATGGATAATAATGGAAAATGTGGGTATTGAAGGTAACAATGAGTGCAAATGTAGGAAAGAGGGTGAAGTAGAAAAGCAGGGATTTTAAGAGGTAACAAGCCAGGCATATTGAGGGAAAGAGCAGGGCCGTAATTATCAGTTCATAGGATATGTGGGTAGAATTTAATCGTGATGTCAACAGTCGGAAACACTAAATTTATCTCTGGAATGTCCTTGTTTGATTTCTTGATTATAGGTCTTTCATTTCCTAGAAAATTGTCCTTATTAACCATCCCAGGAAAATATCTTCTGCATTCAGGCTTTATCTACATGGAATTGTAGGCAAGAAGATTTGGAGGAAATTGGAAGGGGATTTGATGTCCCAAAGGGCCAAAGTAGACTTTACAAGACAGGAAGATGCTGATTTTTTAATTTCCAGTGGGATGAAACCTATCCCATAGATTCAAACTTCTCGAAACAGCATTGGGTGAGCATGTATACTCAGCAAGAGATGGGCAAGGGATTTTGAGACGTGGCTCGTCTTTCTTACTTCTGAGATGTTTTGTTTTTTTCTTTTGATTTGACCACAGAAGAAACACTAGAATCTAATGAGGGGAAATGTGTTTTCTCATTTGGTCTTAGTAGGAAACACTTAGTGTCAATGTCAGATGCCAATAGGCTTTTTCTCAGCAATAAAATTTTCTGTTATTTGGCTTTCTTTTGTTTTTGTTTTTTTTGTTTTTGCTATTGTGAGTTTCTATTCTACTTTCCAGAAGCCCTATCTATCTATTGTTTTGCATTTTTTTGAGAAAGAACTAGTCTCTAAATTATTGATCAGTTCTTAAATGTGATAGAAAGAAGGTTCTGTATCTTTAAAATGAGACAGTCAATTGTACTTTGATTAAATTATATAGTTTAGGACAATAAGAGCGTTGCATATAAATATTACATTTTATTGCTAAAATTTTTTAAATTCACATATTCTTCAATCTTAACCTCTATTTAACTCTTGGGAATACTGGCCCAAGACCAAATTGATATTAGAATTGACTATATGTAGATATCATGCCTGTGCCACCAGTTGTATAGTTGGAGAAATGTTACTAAGAACAAGAAGCATACTGACCAAAACTTACCTGAATTCTGTAAAGATATCTTCCACAGTGTTCTAGTATTATTGAAAAATCTATCAAGGGAGACAGATAAAGGCATTTAATGTGAGCCACTGCAGGAGTCATTTAAAATAAAGCTAAGGTTAGACCAATAACCCTGGCCAGGAAAGTTCCTAAAGAAAATCATAAAATAAAAATTGCCATCTAGAAAAGATTGTGTGTGTCCTGCTCAGGTAGTATCTTTATAAGAAGAAAATCCATATTCAGAAAAGATGTTTATGGTTCTGCATCTGGGAAGCAGAAGAGAAGGTGTTTGCGGTTTTAAAGTGGATAGTTTACTTAACTGACAGCACTCGGCAATGCAGTGAAGAAAGACTAAGCAAAAATGTGGGGACGCATTTAGCAGTGATTATAGGTAAGGACTAAAGTTTTGTTTTGTTTTCTTCCTGACACAGATGCAAATCTTATCACTGCCTTCCCCAGTGGAGTGTGATCGTGAAACTGGATTGTGGTTTAACAGTAAATGCTATGGCAACCTTGAACTCCAGCAATTCCCTGTCTTCCACATTCTATCTCACAGGTATCCCTGGATATGAGGAATTTCACCACTGGATTTCCATCCCATTCTGTCTCCTCTACCTGGGTGGAATAATGGGTAACTGCACCATCCTGCATATCGTGCGGAGAGACCCCAGGCTCCATGAGCCCATGTACTACTTCCTGGCCATGCTTTCTCTCACTGACATGGGCATGTCCATTCCCACAATGTTATCACTTTTCAGGGTGTTGTGGTCCATTTCCAGGGAGATCCAGTTCAACATCTGTGTGGTCCAAATGTTTTTCATTCACACTTTCTCCTTCACTGAATCATCTGTGCTGTTGGCCATGGCCCTTGACCGCTATGTGGCCATCTGCCACCCTCTGAGATATGTGACCATTCTCACCCCAAGACTTACCACTAAAATTGGAATTGCAGCTTTTCTTAGGAGTGCCTTACCCATGATTCCACTTCTGGCTCGGCTGCCCTTCTTTCCCTTCTGCCACTCCCACATCCTTTCTCATTCCTATTGTCTGCACCAAGACATTATTTGCCTTGCCTGTGCTGACACCAAGTTTAATGTTATATACGGGATGATCGTGATCACTATGCTGTGGGGCATGGACTCTCTGGGTATTTTTGTTTCTTATGTGTTCATCTTTCACTCAGTATTAAAGATTTCATCTCGTGAGGGGAGATTTAAGTCCCTCAACACATGTGCATCCCATATCTGTGCTGTCCTCATTCTATATGTGCCTATGATTGGGCTATCTATCATCCATCGTTTTGGCAAACACTCTTCCCCACTCAGTCTCATCCTCATGGGTCATATCTACTTATTAGTTCCACCTGTGCTCAACCCAATCATCTATAGTGTGAAGACTAAGCAGATACGCCAAGGAGTTCTCCACCTTTTTCTCCCACAAAAGATCAGTTCTGCTGTGATATAGTTACGTCCTCAAGAGAATGATGGCATCAGTCTTAACCAAGGAAATATATAGTCGTTTCTCTCTTCTGGGCATGTTGGCATCAGAATTACCAAGGAAAGACCACTCAAAGAGCAGAAAGAGCCAACACAGCATCACAAAAAAGTCCTACAGGAGAGAGTTGGTGTCCACTGAGACTATACAGCTTGCCTTAATTTGAGCTTCGTAAATCTCCTTTAAGTATGAATATGTTGTAGTGAAGTGTGTGGGAAATCATTTCCATCTATTCTCTCTCATTTCTAATCTGAGCTGTTATTTAAGATCACTTATTCATGAAGTTTTCCTTAAATATGCTAAACCCATATTTCTTTGCATCTTGACATTCTGTGTTTGTCAGGAAATCTTATATTACCTTTGTCATTATATAAATGTATTTGTAAATCTGCTTATTTTATCTTCCTTAAAGATGTAAAAAATCGTATCTTGATATAAGAGCATATTAGGACTCAAAGTAGAAGTTATCAGCCCTGATGTTTCATCAGTATCATCTTTTAAAAGTTTATACACATACTCTGCCCTTCTTTTCCTAAAGAGGTTTAGACTCCTCAGGAATAGAAATGGGCCATATGTACATTTTTTTACTTAATTTTTAGAAGTAATTTTAATCTTGTAGAAAGTTGAGACTCAGTAATTTTTGAAAGCCCCCAGATATTGTCATTAAAACCAATAATTATAATTCCTATAATAAACGTATCTTAATACTAATATGCAATATACTATATATTTAAATGTAAAAAAAATATGACTCACTGAGGTATAGCTACTTATAAGTTTGTGGTAGCAGGAAACAGTCATTTAAGTCTCTTAATCTTTATCCAGAACACTTTTCAATATACAAAACTGTCTTTCTTATCACTCTGAAATTGTCTAGCACGTGGCAGTGAATAGAGTTACATAAAAAAACTTGCAAGGTTAATTGAATTTTCTTAGTTCACATCTGCACAGTTGTTCAAAGACGAAAAATAAATGAGGAGAAAAGAAGAAGACTTTAAGAATGCTTTATAGCTCCCCCAAATTTTGTCAGTCTTAAACGTAAATAATATGTTTCCCTTATCTCATTTTAGCTATTACAATGACCTGGGCCTCTAACACGTTACTCCCTGGAAGAACCAATGCTATGCTTGGTGTAGCAGAGGCACTTAATGATTATTGAATGTATAAATGGTAAAGAATGAAATCAACCACTGAGTGAAGAACGACTAGTTTAGATATTAAAAAAAGCCTTGGTGGAAAAGATTTGACCTCTCCTGAGCCCACATTTCGTACAATAAACGAGATCTTACTCACTTAAAAGTAGGATTTCAATTCAGGCATATGGAGCACATCTAGTTTCCATTCGCTTATTTCTGCTTTCTGGTTTTAATTCAACTGTGTCTGTTTCCACCTCTCATTGTCCTATTTCTTGATTCTACTTCTAATTACCTCTCTCCTTCAGAATATTCATTTGACCAAACGCATATCCACTGAAATTAAGCCAGATATAGGAACATCAAAATTAGTTAATATTCAGTATAATAAAGTAGTAAAGCAAAATTGATAGGAAAAAAAAATTTTAAGGAGAATGTGAACATTACTATCAGCTGTATGTTGTACAATTAGCATAACTATTTATATAATCTTTAAAATAAGATCTTCAAACACAAAATATATTTTCAACCTATGGATGCTGAACATACCTTTCCTAGTACTCGTATGCCAAAAAAGAAAAAGTTTTATCAAATTTTTTCTGATAGAAATATATTTAAAATATTGCATCTTCTATTTTGCATTTCACGTATCTGTAAAACTATTTCAAATGGACACCTACATAGATAACCCACTTTTGAGTTTACAAATTATTATCTACTATACTAGATCCTAAATTTACTACTAGAGTTACAAAATAGTCATAAAATATATTTCATCAAAAACATTTAGAAACATATATTTTCAAAATTAAGATAGTTCTTCCCAGTAAAATATAGTTGGTGAAGAGATCAGTGATTGAATACATGAATGAATGAATGAATGAGTGAATGGATGGATGATAAGGTGGTGTTATGAATTCAGAACAGATGCCTTATCTTGTTTTTGGAATCTTTTTTTTTTTTTTTTGAGGAAGATTAACCCTGAGCTAACTGCTGCCAATTCTCCTCTTTTTTCTGAGGAACAGTGGCCCTGAGCTAGCATTCATGCCCATCTTCCTCTACTTTATATGTGGGACGCCTACCACAGCATGGCTTGCCAAGTGGTGCCATGTCCACACCCGGGATCTGAACCAGTGAACCCTGGGCTGCCAAAGCAGAACGTGAGCACTTAACCACTGCACCACTGGGCTGGCCCCTGGAATCTTAATGCAAGCTAGAGTCCAGTCCTCTCGCAAGCAGCTAGTGCTCCTAAAACAAGAAATCCTCTTATTCCTGCCTACATTTCAATAATATAATTGAAGCATCTATTGTTTCCATGTGGATTTATAAATTAGGAGACACTGTTACTCATATTACCTTGTTTTATATAAAGTCAGGAGTATTTATTTCCCTTTTGAAAGCATTCTCTTCCTTCCTGCCGATTCTGTAAGATATCCAGAAGCCCAAATAATTTATTTTGTCTTCCAATCCCTTATCAACAGGAAAAATGCAATGCAATTGTTTTCATAATGTCAAATGTTATCCTTTGAATTAAGCATTGATTATCTTTATGCTGCAGAAGGTCTTTTGTGGCAAAAGACAATGGCGAGAAGAAATAATAGCAGAGAAGATCGGTATTTCCTTTACCATCTAAGTGTTTGGCATTTTCTTCTATACAAAGCACTGTTGCAAAATACTTCACTATTCCATTTAGTCATTCATGTTCAATCTAATAACTTAAATAATAAAAACACAATTTCATTAAAAACAGTGCAGCATGGATAACCACCTGATTACACAAAGAATACAGAAACAGCCATATGCATTTATAAAGAGAATGATAACAATCGAAACATTTTCAAGGAACTCAATCTAAATAATTCAAACACTAGACCATGTAAGTATTTATATTATGTTCATGATACCCTTCTTTATTGTCTGACGCCAGGGAACTATTTTAGCTCTTTTATTAGTCAAAAGTTGAATGTTTTCTAGTGGAGAAAAGGAATTACATTGCAGGAATTATGGCAGATAGATGATAAAGTATGTCCCAGGTCCTATAATGCAATTAGCAGGAATTCTCGCTAGACTGGGTTAGCTAATTAGAGGTCATTCAAAGTTACAGTATGGTTTCTTTTCTACAATATGGCTTCCCTTATGTCAACCTTGTGTTGAGCTGGTATCACTAACACTTTGTGGACCAAACAACTTCCTAAGGCAGCATTCTTGTGGCAGAGATTCTCACAACGTTTCCCCTGGGGACTCCTTTCTCTGCTCTGTGAAAGCTTTTGCTTTTCAGGCCTTGACTCCTTCAGTTTTCTTCTAGGGCTATCTTTTTGGTAAAATGCTAAAGAAAAGTGAGAAGGCAACACATGTTCAGCTAAAACTTGGAGGCATTTGCAGGAGAGGACAAGGGTATTACTCAGGGGAGCCCGGCGAAAACGTCCTGCTGTCCTAGTGTGAAGGGCAGTTTATGAATTATACCCACCACTCTAATCCCTAGTCTGTGATGGAGGGTGATTACAGTACAGAACTGAAGTTAGTTTCTGAACATAGAGTTAAAATGTTTAGTAGAATTTACGGAAGCTTTAGGAGCAAGAGCTAGAATTCTAATTATAACCGTTCTTTAGTTTGTTCAGAGATATTTCTGAACCTCAGACTATTAATGTGTCATACAGCCTCTTTTGATCTCATATAGATATTTAGTATTTAAAATATGATTAAAAATATAGAAATAATTTTAGGGAGTCTGAAATTATTGTTAGATATTAGGATATGAATATGATTCATGAATAAACTTAAGGCATTGGATAATAGTATCTGTCTTTTTTGACTATGTAGAGATCTCCATTAATTGCCAAATTATTCTTATGAAAAGACCACTAAGTCATGGGGGATAAGCCAAAGATGGGTAAAAGACAGAGGCTGTAGTAACAGACCTCAGATGCTTTATGGCTGTTGTGACAAGAAGAAAGAATGACAGTACAAGTATAAATTAGTAAAATTTTGAGATAGTTAAGAGTCTGAAAGAACTGCTTTTGTAGTTTGTTTTAACATTGCTGTGGCTTTAGGGATTGCGCGTGACAGTAGGCGTATGGCTGGCACTTCAACTGCTGACCAAGCTAGTCACATTGCTGCAGAAGCCAGATGGGTAAGGCAACCACTATTCTTGGAAATCTCCATCTACATGAGCAGAGCACTGAAAGTGATATTTATTAAAGTTATTATCTTGCCTATGTGCTTTTGGGCAAACCATTGAAATCTCTAAGCCTCAGTCTACTTTTCTATAATGTACCTTTCTGTCAATGGCATTGAGGTATTTCATGGTAAAAATATGATAATTAAAACATAAAAATTCAAATTGAAAGAGGACTGTGGCATTTTCATACATTCTTTGATTATTTTTACAATATCGTGAGATAGAGCTTATTCTCTTTGTAACTGAAATGCATTAAAACTTCATGAGCAAAGGAGCAAGAACAAGAAAATCAAGAGAATGGCACCAGATTGTTGGAATTATAATGGGCCATGGGATCACAGTAGGGGGATGCTAACTTAACTCTAATACCCTCCAGATGATGAGGCTGTGAGTGCTGATATATTATTGATCTGTCAGAGATGGCCCAAGGCCATGTCCACAGATGGGAACATTAGAAAAGCAGTTGTGAGTTCCAGTGACAAGAGAAGCTCCAGGATCAACAAGGCTGATATAGCTCACGAATCAATTATATCCAATGATCAAATGATAACAATTGTCTCAAGTAAAACTTGGCTTCACTGCAGTGTAGATACACATAAATGAACCTTGGTGGAGAATGTGAAAGAGAAACCAAACTCCAAATAACCAAGATTCAGTAA